TCTCAGTACTGACGAGAGATTCTAGAAATTGGAAAGACGTCACATACAATCAACCAATATTCATATCAAACTACGTAATTTTGAACCAGTTCATATAAATTTGGTAGCAACCAAATAACTCTATGAATATATGGACTGGCAAAAGCAAGCCAAAAATATCGTAGAGCGACTCTCATATATTGATCGCATTGAACAAAACTCGACATACACTATATGTACAATCTTTTTATTCATAAAAATAATGATTTATCAAAAATAATTCAGATATTATTTCTGCATAATAGAATACTTATATACTTGGTTATCTCTGAGAAGAAAAAAATTACCAAATTTATCAAATTTAATTACATTTGCCTGATCACGAAGGCTTTCTGTCAAATCATCTTCATTTCCTAGAATTATTTGCTTCTTATTGGTCACAATATTTAATTGATAAACAAGATTGAATGCCACAGTAAAATAAAGATATCGATTACAATCCATTGTTATTCCAGTAACATACGTTAAGTTTCCTGCTACTGTCGTACCTTCCGTTCCATTAACTGTCCATTTTTGGATACGTTTATTTCGTGTATCAGCTATATATAATGTCAAATCATCGGTAACAACAAACCCCATTGGGTAATATACATCAGTCGATTGTCTCGGATATATTTCATTCTTTCCAGCAACAATAATTTTTTCCATATAACCTGTTGATGCTAACCACTTCTTAATAAAAAATCCTGTTCCAACATATATATTCATTTCTTTATCCAATGTAAGATGATGAGAAAGTACCCCAAATGAAATATCAGCTTCTTCACTTATCAAAATTTTTCCATCATTTTCATTTTTCTTCCATATGAGAACTTGATAGAAGAGATAACTTCTTTCAGGATTTTCTTTTTGAATAAGATCCATAATATACATATCTTCTGTATTAGTATCAACGAAAATAGATTGTGGTAAAAAAAGATTGTTACTAGCAACAGTAATACCGGTTGCACCTACTTCTGTGTCATAGATTTCATTTAACAAATATTTTAGTATTCGATCATTATTCTTATCAACAACATAGAGAGTATCATGAATATTATCAATAAATAGATCGCTTGGACCACATAATTCATTTTCACTTGAAAGACATTGACTAGATGGGTTAATAAATACTGTAAATACTCTACTCCATGATGCATTTCCATTTGGAATAAAACATGATTTTGATGAAAAAATAGGTGCTTCTATTGATGCTAAATAA